CTTTTTTTCAAAGTATCTGAACTTCGAAGAAGACATTAAAAACATGTATTTTAAATATAACCTACTGAATGCTGCTGCTTTATTCTATATAGATTCCACTGATTTTTCAAATAAGATGTGGAATTCCTCTAGCTGCAAGAAAGCTAGAGTGCTTGTGAAATGAGGGAATTTGGGCCTCTTCCAGCTGACAAGTTGTTATCATGGCATAGATCTTTTCTGACAGAGGTTGTACAGGTAAACTCCTCAGAGTGAGCTGGAACCAAAGCTGGAAATGGAAATTTTAACTAGAACAAACTGTCTCACTCCATTAGTGAGAAGCCATGCAGTGAGACAGTGTATTTTCTGTTTAAAATCTAAGATTAATTGCACAAACATTTTTAAACTAATTTTTTTCCTCTTTATTTTAACAAAAGTCGGGAAAAAAATAATTAGTTTAAAAAATAAGTGATGCATTTTCTGCATCTTGTTTCTTTCAGTAGTTTCTGAGCTAAGTTACAGCTATTTCCAGTGAAATAAACCTCAAATAACAGAAATATATAATTTGGAGTGGACTTAAAATATTTCCTTTCGTGTATTGCAGGTTGAATAGAATCTTCCGCGTTTTCATCTTTAATGTTCTGCTTCTCACAGTTACAGTTCTACAAAATTTATTTTTTTAAGCAGTTTACTACCAAACATTGAAACTAGCATTTCTCGTTGTTTGCGAGTTGAGGAGAACTTTTATACCTTTAAATACTCTTTAGAATGTCTAGAATATAAATTGGGCTGGGCTCTCGCTGAATCTGTATCTGATAACGTGATGTCATGCTTGTGAGGGATGATGGAGGGTTCTGTGCTGGGAATTGGTAGGGAGTTGATGTTTATCGTTAAAACTGTATTTTAGTGTTTTCTGTGTGGGTGAAACAAAATAAAATCCTCAGTCATCCTGGGTGCAAGATTTGCTGTGTCTGACCTTGAAAAAATAGTAAAAAACAAGTTACGAGATTACAGGAGTAGAGACAATACTTGAACCTTATTTTAGTGAAGGATTTACTAAGTGACCTTCCAATCTGAAGATGTAGCTAGCCAGCTGCACCGTGCCTGTGTTCTGTGAAGTTGTCACAGGGAGGGAGGATAGTAACAGCCATTCTTATTCTTCCCATAAGCAATTTCTAAAAATGTTCCTCAGCTGCATGTTTGGTTGCTTTCAACTGTGCATTAGGTTTTCTGTACTTACCGTTACATGTAATACTTGCAGACATTTGAACAGTGAATTGAGTCACTTAAATATATATTAAAAAATACATTGGTCTATGCTGAAATATTGAAGGCTTCTGAATGATACTTAGATGTTTCTTGAAATGATAGGTAGGAAATGAAAACCAGGAGACAGTGGGACCAGAGCTTGTAGCAGACCCTGTTGCAGGTTTGACTCCCCTGGAGGAAGGAGGGGAGGGAAAGCAGTTGCTGTAGCCAAACCCTCCTCCTCTTTTGGCTCCCTGTCATCTCTGAACTATCTCTTCCCCCTTCCCCTCCCGCCCCCAACTCTTCCTGTGTAATTACTGGCATGGTTGTCATTCTGGACCAGTGAGTTGTTTCGATTTGTGATAGATAAAATACTTGCTTTAATTGTAGTTGGTGTAGAGCAGCAATCTGAGTGGGCAAGTGCTGCTGGCTTGTTTTAAGCTACAGGCTTTGGGAAGGTGCTGTTTCTTAACAGCACTTTGTTTAACTTGTCAAGTGGTTTTAACATTTTTGTTATTAATCAAGGGCACTCTTTTTCCATTTTAAACACTTTAACAAAAAAGACCATTAAATATTTTTAGAAGTATGGGGGTGTTGTTGAAACAGCTAACTTAGTTATGTGATTCACTATGAGTATATATGGACCTGGTGTATCAAGAGATTTATGCTGTTCAACATGGAGTCGAAAGAGGTTTACTTCAGGATTTCAGTGGGGCCCAACAAGCTTATAATATGTCCTTTATTCTTTAAATTTAAAACTGCTTGCAGTTGGGTAGATTGATAGCTCTGCTTAAAGTATCAGTACCTTTTTTAAAAAATCTCTTTCGCTAGTCTTGCTCATCTTATAGCTGTCCAAAACAGATGTAATTCAAAGCAATCCTGCTCAACCATTTTGGACAGAAGTCTAAGCTGAAATCAGTGCTGTCAAAGGACTGAAGTGAGAAGGCACTGTGGGTGTTGATACACAAATGGGCAGTGTCCTCCTTTCCTCCAGACTTCTAGCAATGATCATAATGTAGTCTTTTCTCAAGAAAAACTCTTGACTATCTGCCTATATTTTAGTATTTGTTTAGAGAAGTATTTTCTGTACTTCAGACATATGTCTCATACTCTTGACAGAGACTATTTTGCTTTCTTTTTCTTTATAAATTATTATAGGGTAGTAAAGGAAAATATAGCTTGGTTTAAGTTGTGTTTAGAATCCGATTAGTGAAGATCATTTGTCTTTTACCGCAGCTTTTGGCATATTATTCTAAAGAAAATGTAACTTGTCAATTGCAGAAAGGTATAAATACAGGGAGCAAGGTGCATTCTTAAGCAAGAGTTCTTGATGTTATTTTACTGAAGTATTTTTAGTAGTGTGTTTCTGCTCGATACTTAAAGTGAAACTTCAGGCATAAGCTGGGAATTGTTATAATCTCTAGCTAAAGTGTTTGGATTTTCAGTGTCACTTTTTTCAGTCTTCAGACCAGAATGGTAGTAGAGAAGTCTCTCACATGATATTTACCTGGTAATTATACAAAAAAAGGACAAGTATTCTAACTTGCAGCAGTGTTTTAAATAGAGATGCACTCCTTGATTGCTGTACCGCTTTCTTAAAAACATCTCACCACTCATGTCATGTTTTCATTCTGAAACCTAATAATTGTTTGTGTGTTAGTGGTGTTTACTTTTTGCTTTAGAAGAAACAATTTTGCACAAGTAAAGCTTTGCTGAAACACTTATCCCAATATCCTCTGGTTTGATGCTGGAATTTGAGTTTCCAGTCACAAATTTTCATGGTAAACTTCTCTGTTTTAGTCCTCCTTGACAATAATAGTTTTGTTTTGTGTAGGATGTACAGACAATGTAACTTATGTCTATACTTGAATTGTGGTGTTTGCATAGAAATAAGAGAGAGAAGGCAAAAAGAACAGAGCTCTACTGACTGTTCTGTATCAGCTGCAGTTTCTAATGCTAGGATATGAAGAAAATCTTTTGCTTAACCTGAAAATATCATGTTGGGACTGTGCCCTTTCACTCACGTGCCGCTTGGCCTCCACTTGGTATGTCAAGGTAGCAGTGCTTTGACTTCCTAATAGGAGAAGCTGAGTCATGTGTTTTGCATCATGTTTTCCAAAAATAGCTCAAAGTGGAATTTTTGCTTTGTTTTAGTCTGAAACTGAGAGTGTTCTTTAACAAAAAATCTAAACGTAAGGTGAAAGTAAGCCCATTAATTCAATCTTGCACCAGGAATAAGCTAAACACAGGTGTATGAAACATTATTTTAGCAAACCATTCTAGCAAAAAAGAATGCCTTGGTTAACCTTAAAAAGCATCTGTATGTGTTGAAAAAGAATTGTCTTTAACCTTAAAAAGCATCTGTATGTGTTAGAAAGATAGACAATTCTTTTTCATCACAAGTAACCTTTCACTACAGACTTCAGATATGAATGCCTAGATCACAAGTAACCTTTCACTACAGACTTTACTTCAGATATGAATGCCTACAAAATAAGGTGAACTAGGATAGTCTTAGGACTAACAAGGTCTGTAACTTACAGGAAATTACAGTGGGAAAATTTCTTAGAAATAATTTAAAATAATTTTATGTAACTTATTATAAGTTTTTCTAGTATACTGCTGATGTTGTGTAATTTGGATAGGTTGAGTGTTCTCCTATATAAAAGATAAATAATCTTCGAGTTATATGTACTTGAACTTAAATCCTTTGTTCTGATTTGGTACAGTTGCTCTTGATTCATGTTGCCAGATGTACTTTAAGGGCTGTGGGAGCGCTTGCAGAGTTCTTGCTGTGGGACATTTGAGACATATGTGTCAAATCTGTATGAGGGCTTAAGTAAAATATGCTGAAAACAAATTTTTGTAGAGTAAGTCAAGACAGTATTGTCATGGCGGTGACACTACCACACTTTTGCAGACCACACAATCATTTTACTTGGACATCTTGTGCTTGCAGTTCTATTGTAATACCTCATGGTTTGCTTCTTGGGGAAGAAAAGGCATCTGATTGCTAAAAAAGAAAGAAAGAAAAAAAAAGTATCTGTCTACTTTAATCTTTCTGACTTAATCCCTTAAAGGTAATGGCCAAGCTTTCTGGGGCAGGGTAATCTGTGTAAGACTGGTTTGGCTTTGTCTGCATCAGAAAGTAGACTCTAAGAGAAATTATAAGTCGAAACATGGCAGGTGCCAAAAAAAAACATATTGGCTGTGTGTACTGAGTGGGAATGCCTTTTTTATTGTTATTATTATTTTTTAAACATAATTATTCTGGAAAATGCTGGGCTAAACCTACTTGGTTAGATATTCAGTGATGATGGAAAAGGGACGGTCTAATGTGGATTCTCACAAATGTGATAAACAAGTATAGTGGGGGTGGGGAGCAGTACTTAATTAGGTTTTTGGGAGCTTTGAAGTTGCATTCCAGCTTTATCTGGAAAGGGATAATATTGAGGGCAATCTCCTTCCCTCCCACCCCCCCTTCAGGAATGGAGATGTTACAAATGGTATGAAAGGGGCTCTAGCAATTTTGTGGTATGCTGGTAGCAGTTATTATTTGAGGGTAATTGGAATTTGTCATGTGCCTACCAGCTTTCACTGTATAAATAAACAAGATCAATTAAAGGCATTATGGCCTGAGTGAAGTTCTTGTAGATTAGCTTTCTGTTCTTACTAATCTGTGACATTCATCATACATCTATTCTTCATCTTATTAAACTTTGTGAACAAATAGAAGTACGTGAGATACAGGAGCGAAACCAAATTGCAGTACGAGGATGTCTGAATGGCAGTGGGAGAGCAGAGTCTACAAGTATGATGTGTTCACGGAAGTTAGTAAACATATTTTTGCTCTTGCATGATCATGGATTAATAGTTTATTTCCATCAGACTTTGCTTGGCAGTAGAATAAAAAAGGCGTTCTTCTCTATATGCTGTTAGAAAATGAAGCACCTGCAAACATTTTTGTGCATTGCAGAATTGGTGAACTCTAGCACAGATTTTGTGCCTGCAGTACTTTCTAAACAAGGTATTCTGTACCAGATATTAAACTTGATTTCTTTCCAAGTTGGATTTCTTTCAAGAAACTAAAAATCCGCTATTTTACAATAGCAGTATTTTGCAATAATATATGTCTACAGTGATGTGTATAAATTCATTTAAACATAATACTATGCAAAATATTATTTACATTTCAATGTACTTTTATTTCTCTGAGGAGGTAAAAATAGTTGTCAAGTTCTTTTTTGGGGGTAGTAAAGATCATATGTTAGGAATCTGTGAGGAAAGTAGTGGGTGCTGTTAATGGTTGCTGGATAGAGCATGGACTCTGTGGCTTTCCCCATCATATTCTTGCAATTTGTCATGGTGAATATGATCAGCCTAAACACTACTATTTCAGTGCACACAAATGCATGGAAGAACATGGATATGTAAGAAATAATGAATGTGTTTTATGATGCAGTTGGCTTGCGAAGTATAGTGTAGCTGACTGATGTTTGTGTGGGTGGAAGCTTTTTAAAATTACAGCTGCTAGCGAGAAAGAAAATGTACGGCCAGCATTCTCTCTCCGGCAGTGCATTATGTTTTTATATAATGCATTTCCAGTCTTAAGCCTCTTACCTTCAGGTTACTTGCAGTGTTAATTGCAAGTAACCTTAGTGTACTTGGTCAATACAGTTGTCTCAATTCTTCCTTTGCAACTTAAGAATTTGATGTATATTTGTAGGTAAAAATGACTAATTGAGAGGATTCATGATTTCCCTAATGTGAAAGTGTGCATCATCTGACAAACTGTAGCACCTCAGGGATGGTTTCTGCCTACTAAGTCTTGTGGTTTCCTAAGGACACCTGCATTTTGAATGCTGTTATAAAGTGTGTGTGTGTGTGTGTTGTTGAGGTTCGTTTATTTGTTTTTCCCCTGAGAGGGAAGTCATGTAGCTGGATGCAAGCCCTCTCAGCAGTTGGCTTTGTGTTGGAACTAAAAAGCTGCGTTTGATATTATGCTAGACCCTACTAAAAGGCTCAAGGAAGGTCAGCCTGGGGAAAGGAATGTGGGTGGGTGAAGGATAGGAGCTGGACTTGCTGCTCTGCCAGGGAGGCTGTTTCAGAATATCCTTGGGAGAGGGATGATAACTAAGTTTAAGTAAAATTGAGCACTTAACAGTTGCAATGAAATTAGCAACAGGAAGTGACCTAGGTCCCTTGTTAGTCTTGACTATCTGCAAAAAATTTTAAACTCCAAAAATGTTTCAAAATATTGAACTTCCTAAGATGAGTGTAATAGTTCATATTCTAGTGATTCGTTGCCTGTTTAGAACGGTCCTATAAAAATCTCTTGTATTTTTAACAAAGCAAAAATCTAATATTACTTTCAGAAAGCTGTATCAGAACTGCTGCTTTTTAGTATCTTCCAAGTTCAAAGTCTTCTGTGATCGGTTCTTTTCTTCCAAAACTGGCACTTTCCTTCCGCTTATGGATAGTGCTTTTTGGGAAGAATGGGGAGGGGGGAAAAACTCTTGTGGGGGAGGAGGAAATAGATTACCTGTAGTCAGTGTAAAACCTGAATGTTTGTTTGTTTTACCAGATATTACCAAGACAAACATTCTGTATAATGTGTTATAAAAGATTTTTAATAATTTGGGTCTACGGGAGTTGTGGAAAGGAGTAAAGGCTTCTTGAAAATATAAGTATTGGTTTACATTGCAACTTGCATAGATGGAGGTCATGTGGGAGAGTAGTTTTGGTAACCTCTGTAGATTACATTACACTTTGTAACAAAATATATTTAATTCAAGGCCTTATGTCTGGGCAAGCATATAAAGACTTTGGCAATGCTATATTTACGCCATTTTCCACATTACTATCTTTAAAGTAACTAAAACATAAGATATGGAGAGAGTAAGGATTACTTCCAAAACAATATTCAAAAGCCTTTCAGTTATTTCTGGGATTTGTCTTTTAAGTAACTCTTAAGTAACTTGTTAAATTTAACGTGTTAACTTGTTAAAGTTACTTAACTTAAAAGATACTTAACTTTCAAGTGACTTGAGTCTTTTCTTTCTTTCCAGTCTAAGCCATACATATTTGACCGTGTATTCCAGTCGAACACGTCACAGGAACAAGTATACAATGATTGTGCTAAAAAGATTGTCAAAGGTAAGGTGGGAGAATAGCTTTTCCCATATGTATGTCTTACATATGTATTTTGATTTTAATGGTGAAAACCTCTGTTATTCCTTCTTACCTCCTTTTAGTAAAACCTAGCATAGATCATAGCAGTGTAAAAATCTTCTTGTAATCTAGTAGATCAATTAGCTGAAACAACAAGTTTAGAATTCAGATATTTGTAGCATTTCATAAATATTTACCTTTCATGCTTTTTTCCTGATTTCTGCAAAAAAAGTTTAAAGCAATTTATCAGAAATTAAAAATCAAAACAACCCTTCTGCTTGAAAGCAATTCTTCTAAGTAATTTCTTGATTTTTTTTTTTTTTTAGTAGTCTGGTGTCAGAAAATATAATTCTTATGATAATCTTAGGATATACAGTTTCAAATTTAAATCGTCAGAATTGCCCTAGTAACTTTTAAAGATCAAGCTCTACAAGGTTACAAAATACTACATTACTGTAGTAAGCAATTTGCTATTTTTTTCTCTCTTTATTTATTTTTTTACAGCTTTTGGAGGAGGATAGTTTAATATTTTGAAAGTAGTCAACTACAATTTAACAAAGCCTTGCAAGAAATCACTAGTAGCTGATATTTTAGTGATATTTTATTAATAAAAGGACAAGGAAAGTAAAAGAAAGGTTGGTTAAAAACTCATTTTTTTAAGAAGTGAATTGTTGTGAAAAATCCATACTACTGTCAGAATTAAAATCTTAAAGGAGTTAGAGATTAGATTTAGGTCTTTTTTTTTTGGGGGGGGGGGTAAAAATTCTTTTATATTTTGTTTTACAATTCAGAATTGGAGTTGGCTGAGAACTGTAAACTTTTTCTGTCACCTCCTTAGTCTTCCCCCTCATCATTCCCATCTGACCCATCTGATAAACCTTTTTTCCCTTTCCCCTGACTGTGTTTTCTTAGGCTGTTATGTATCTTGTGACAGTTGACTGTAGTGATGGTACAGATGGATTCAGGGTATGATGGGTTAGATAAGACCTCTCCATTTGTGAGTAGCCTGTGGTTGTTTACAGAAAACAAAAGTTTGCTTTCAAGAAGTTACTCAACAGTAACACTGGTAAACAAACACACCCTCACCCTGATTTTCTTTTTTATTAAAAAAAAAAAAGGCAACCCCAGGTTGGTTTATGTACAATTTAAAATGCAACCAACTCTCCTTGTGGGTGAAGTATAAGCTGCTGAAATTTATGGCACAGCCCCTTCTCTTAATATTTAGACGTTTGAACTTTCCTGAGGAGGCTGACGATAGCATACCTTTCTTGTACGTGATTTCTTCTTCCTCATGAGTCATTGAAGACTACCTGTTGTTCAACCTGCCAGTTGTACCAGGACATGAGAATTGGGAACAGAAAGGAAATCAAGTTCAAGTTCTGTTTGAAGGAAAAGCTCCTTCAAAAATAATTACATTTTAGGAAGTTTACTATCTCCCCCAATCCAAACCCTACTACTGAATTACTAAATGTTGATCCATTTAATCAATGATTTTACATGCTAAAGATTTTTGCGATTGTTTGCTTGTATTCCGTTTCATTTGATGCTTGTGTAGAAGCAGGAAAAGAACCCTAACGAAAATACTTTTTTCTTCTAGATGTACTTGAGGGATACAATGGTACAATATTTGCTTATGGGCAAACATCATCTGGGAAAACGCACACTATGGAAGTAAGAAATCTTAAAATAGTTATCTCTTACGGTCGTGATTTCTTCTCACAACAGTGCTATTATCCTATTTCTGGAAACAAGATCTATCTACTGTTTTTGTTCTGAATTTTAACTTTCTTACTTTTTCACTGCAATATTTGCATAACTAAAATGTCAGAACTGGAAATGGTGATAACTGTGGCCTTTTACTTCTCAACAGTAGAAGAAACATAGTTTTCTGATAGTAGATTTTCGCTTTTAGTTGTTTGAGAGAGATCTGAGATTGTTTTTGTCTCCTGGTAAATACTGGGCTTAAGTGGATGGTCAAGACTTTCCTTTATAGGTAAAATAAAAGGCTGACAGAGATGATGTATTTAAAACTAGGTTGTTGTCTGTTGACTTTATTTTGCCTTTAAATTCTCTTTATGATGTTGAATTCAATGTAATGTTTCATTTTATTTTATCCCTTTCTAATAAGGGGAAGCTTCATGACCCAGACGGAATGGGGATTATTCCAAGAATAGTGCAAGATATTTTTAATTATATTTACTCTATGGATGAGAATCTCGAGTTTCATATTAAAGTAAGCCTTCTTCATTACTACCTATTTAAGTTTACTACTGAAACTGTTGCTTCAGTATTAAAACTGGAGATAGCCTGTAGTTCAGTGTTTGTTCTGTCTGGACCATTGCAGAGTGCCAGTAACTTGGAAAATCTAAATGAGTTATTTCAGAAGTCTCTTCTTAAAGAAGAATTAAGTTAACACTTTAATCTTGTTTCCATTAAACATTGATGGTAGCTATCACCTGATAGCATCTGTCAGTACCGATAGTACTTTAAGCTTTGATCAAAATGGCTTCTTTTTCAAAGCTAAATTTTAGTTCAGCCTCTAATACATGAATTAGATGTGTTTATGTGGGAGGTCTAAATCATGTGGATACTTCTCATCCCAAAGCTACATGTTTTTGCTTTCTAATATTCTCCTTTTTTTAGGTGTCATATTTTGAAATATACTTGGATAAAATAAGGGACCTTTTGGATGGTAAGTCTGACTTATATGAAACAAAAATTTATTCTGGAGGGAGAGATCTAAATAAAAACTTTATGACGCTTAACTATTTAGTATACTAATAATAACCTGTAGATGATATAGTTGCATCAAAATGAGAAGGTATGGAGCCAATATGTACAAAAATTTTAGCTGCATTAGTGGTTGTTTTGTATATATTGTGTTTTTAGAGAGTATTGCTGTGAAAATAATATAACTCTGTGAAAATAACACCTCTAACTCCTGAGGTGTATTTTGTGAATAACTAGTTCATTCGGTAAGTACTTTAGAACTTTTTCTCTTCCAGTTTCGAAGACCAATCTTTCTGTTCACGAAGATAAAAATAGAGTTCCCTATGTAAAGGTGAGTGATAACTTGGTGTTGTCTTGATCTTTCATTTCTGTCATATGCAGCATTTACTTCTGACGTGTTGATATTTTTTAAAGGGTTGCACAGAGCGTTTTGTATGTAGTCCAGAAGAAGTTATGGATACTATAGATGAAGGAAAATCTAATCGGCATGTAGCAGTTACAAGTAAGTATCTATCTCTTTTAGTGCTTTATTTCTGTTTATTATATGTGTTCAAAAGAAGGAGAGACAAAAAAAAGGGATTTCTTTTTTAAGAAGGCCTAGTGCAAACCATTTCAGCGCATGTTTTAGAAACAACTCTCAGTTCATTTCTTGTTAGATGTTACTTGGGCTTAGATGAGAAAGAGGACATGATCAGTGAGGCTCCCTTGCTGTGGGAGCAGGGGAAAAGTATGGTTTTGTTAGGCATAATGCCAAGTTTCGTTTTGTGGAATTTGTTCCAGTTAACCTGTGAATCTAAAAGTAAGGCACAGTGTCTCTCATACACCTTGGGCATGATGTCTCTAAGAAAAGCTATCTGAAGATGTATTGGGACATACTTCAGATCCAAGCAGCATCCCAGTATCCCAAGTTTTGCTTTCTGGTAGCTGAGTTGTCAGGAGCAATGACACTGGAGTCCATGTTCTCACAAAAAGCAGAATAGTTGGGTCAAAAAAAAAAAAAGGGGGGGGGGGGGGGAGGGAGGGCAAAAAATGACAAGGAAAGATGAGATTCATGCAGAATAATACTTCGGTCTTTGGAAGTCTTTGTGAGCTGGCTTGAGGAGGATTTCTTTGTGGATGTGCTCAGTTATTTCTTCAAGAAAGAGAAGTTTTCTTTAAGAAAACATGAGAAGGAAAAATCTTTTTTTTTTGGTTAAGGAGCAGAAATAAACATGGTCTTAATCTTAAGGAAAGAATTAGTCTTGGACTTCAACTTGATTATTTCTAGGTGACGTAGTACTGAAATGGGGGCAAAGCTAAGTAATGGAGAAATAACAGAAAGTTGGATGTCAAGATAGTGCGTCATGTAGAGCATCGTGTGTGAAATTAATGAGCCGGTCCTTTTAGGCCTATGCGGGATTTATGGTTAAAAGGAAGAAGAAATGGACTTTCATTCTCATTGTGATTGCTGGCAGCTTAGATCTTGTTAATAAATTCAAACAGTTCTTTAAATTCATCGTCAGTCTTATTTACATTGTATGTTTCACAGCACAGATGGCAATACGTATTTCAAGAAGAAAGGGATGAGAGATGACTTAATCATCTAGTTTAAACTTTCACAAAACTATAAAGTGATACACTAAATTTTTGAAGTGTGCTTTGGTGTCAAGATGTAAATGTACTTGGTCTTCTAATACAGTGAATTTAGTGTGTGAAATCCATAGATGACTGAAATCTTATCAGTGAGCATATGTGGTATTAATAGAAGCCCAAGGGAGAGTGGATCTTGGTTACTTAATCAGGTGATACTAACTATTGGTTTTGCAGTGTCTTACTGTCTTGTGAGACAACTGTGTATAGTTGTGTTACCTTTAGGTCTGTCAATTCAGGGTAGGAAGATGCTGTATTAGTTAAGTAATGTTGCTTATACTTTTTTGACAATTTATCTATTTTGGTTTATAGATATGAATGAACACAGTTCCCGAAGTCATAGTATTTTTCTTATTAATGTCAAACAAGAGAATACTCAAACAGAACAGAAACTAAGTGGAAAACTTTACCTTGTGGACTTGGCAGGGAGTGAAAAGGTAACTTTTAATTTCTCTTTTCATGGTTTGAAAAATTCAGATAACTTTTACATTCATTTAAAACACTTGACTGAGCAGTCATCTCTAAAGCTTTTTAATTCTGATACTCAGAATCAAAAATTCAAAAGAATTTTGATTCTTCAGATACTCTCTCCTTAAACTAATTTACATTTCTGCAGGAAGTTTGTAAATGTGGAATAGGATGAGGCAATAGGCTCATCCTTGATATTCGAGAGGTAAAAACTATCTGAGTATTAGATAAACTAGATACTAAAATCAAAGAGTGTTTCTAAATGTGGAGTATCTACATTTTTTTATGCAGTGGTGCCAGTTTTTCCAATTCTTATCAGCATTATCACAGTGATGACAACTTTTCCTGAATCAGTGCTTAAAAGAAGGAATGAAATAACATATTTCATGTTATTTATTGCATATTAGTGTTATTCAGCTTTATACACTGCAGTTTACTCCTTTAAGACCTGGATTTCTGACATTGCCCTTTTAATCTTTCCTCCCGGGGCTTATCGCCATCACTGTCTCCAGCTTTTTCAGTCATTTCTGCTTGGCGGTGCTTGTGTGTGTGTCATTGTTCAGTGTCTTCTCTGTTCTTTCTGATCCTGTTCTTATTCTAGGATGTATTTCTTAGTGGTTGTCTCTCTTAATCGGAATCAAACTGGAAGCATTAAAGCCGGATGAGCAAAAAGTTGAAAAAAAGCAAATCAGGCTGCAGGTCTCTTTATAGGGTACTTCTGTTTCTTTTGCTGTTTAGCTCAAATTCTGCTCTCCTACTTCTCAGTCTTTTGAAATACAAATAGAGTTGCTTAGTTATAGACATGATGAGAAGGCTTATAAAAGGGGAGTTATGGAACTATACATAAAATTCAACACTCAGAGCAGGAAAGCTGGAATGAAGAATGGTGTGAGATGGATAGATTTCTGCTGCCTCAGTTTGTGTTAATATCAAGTTTGGTTCATAGGGCATTCATGTGGGTCAAATTTGCCTTCTAAAACCTGTGTTCTCAAGAACTTCTGTTAAAATAGGCTCACTGCTTTGCTTTCCTGGCTTCTGGACTGGCCTGTAAGCAAACTATATAGACCTTCTTATGAAGCTTTATAGTTCTAGTTTGTATTGTGAATAATTTGCAGTTTCAAATTACCCAGATTTCCTTTTAAAGGAATGAAACAACTTGTGAAAAAGTTCCAATTCATAGATAGAAGCTTCTAGCTATCTATTTATCTTTTAAAGAAAGGTCTGCTTTCCAAGGGAAAATACTTGCTTTTGTTGAAATACCAGAAGCATCTCCAAATCCTGAGTTCTTAATGAAAATCGATGGTAAAATAGGAAGAGAGTCTAAGGAGGGTTTTGATTGTTCTAACCCGAGTTGCTGACGTATACCTCCTAAAATCCAAATCACCTTTAATGGGAGAAAATTATTCAAGTTTTGTATTAAATGTGGAAAGTGTTTCTTAAGATGCATTTACTAACCTTCTGAAATGTTATGTAGGTTAGTAAAACCGGAGCAGAAGGTGCTGTGTTGGATGAGGCTAAGAACATCAACAAGTCTTTGTCTGCTCTTGGAAACGTCATTTCAGCTTTGGCTGAAAGCAGTGTAAGTGTGCTCTTTGGATTTTTCAAGGCTTGCATCTTGGTGCACTGTAATATACAGAAATCCTTTTCAGTCATGTGTAGTCATGTGCGTGGAATGTTTAATTCTTGTTCAACTGTTTTCTTGGTAGACTTACGTCCCATATCGTGATAGCAAAATGACGAGAATCCTTCAGGACTCACTAGGGGGCAATTGCAGAACCACTATTGTTATTTGCTGTTCTCCATCTTCATACAATGAATCTGAAACTAAATCTACTCTTCTGTTTGGGCAAAGGTGAGTAAATGACTTGCAAGGTAATTCTTCCTATGAAATTTTGCTTCTTGTCGCTCTTAAGTGCCTTACAAGATTGTTTCCTGCCTAACAACAAATTACTACGTGGTGTAAGTGAATCTCTAAGAGTAAACGAACTCTTGAAGGAATCTGTTTTTTAATAAGTATATATCCTGAGAACGTAAGTGTGACTGGTGATTTAGTTATATATTAACTTACATAAATATGTTAGTATTTTGCTCTTATTACCTCTAGAAGTGACTTCTTTTCTCATTCTGCATGAAGATGTTAGTATTTTGCTCTTATTACCTCTTATTACTTCATTCTGCATGAATTTGAATGTTTGTTTTCTTGCTCTAATTTTGCTGTGTACAAGTAGCTATTAAGTGTTGTGATTCATTTTATATATATAGTATTTATATAAATAATATATGTACATATATTTTTATTTTCATATAAAATCTTCATATAAATTTGATATATATAAAAATATCTTTAGTTTGACTGGATCCTGAAGACTATATCCTCAAGAGGATGGTATATCATTTGCTTCAAAATGCAGTTTAATGTATAGTCTTGGGGAGGGGAATCAATATTCTTTCTTTGAAGTTGGAGGAGGGAGAAAGGAGGTACTCTACAGGTAAGCTAAAACCTTTATTTGCAGAGCAAGCTTTGCCCTCTGACAACCTTTCTTTAGTAGCTTGCTAATCTTATCCTCTGGTCCATTTCCTGTATTTAACTCTTTAGTAAGATTTGAGTTAATATTTATAAAATCAATTATAAGTTGCATAGAAATTTGGAGGTACTCCAAATGTCTGAGCATAATGTTCCTGTTTCCGAACTCTAGATTGAATCACTTAATTTACTGGAGGAGGTTTCAAAAGCCGTCAGAGTTTCACTTTGTTCATCTCCTCTGTGTTAGCCTGACTCATCTGTTACTGTTCAACAGGAAGGTCTTCAACTGATCTTTCCTGAGATTTTCTTTATGGAAAGTATACCTTCAGTCTGGTATATTAAATTATTAATATTTTAATAAATCTATTAACTTAGCCTAAACTGAACAACTAGCAGGTTGAAACTCAGCCCATAATCCAGTAGGAAATAATGTGCCTTTGGTAGTAACCAGTCACATTAATAACCAAGTAATAACTGAAAGTGTGTGGATGCTGTCCCTTGACCATTGGAAATATGTTTGCTAGGTGTGGTAAATGTTACCCTTACTGCTCATTGTTCAAAACTGTGGTGTCCTGAATTAAATTCTTTCCAGTGAAAGTATCCAGCTCAGACAGCTTGAGTTTTTTCAGCCTATTCAGAGGTTGTTTGATTGTTCCTTCTGCTAATGGTTGCATCCAATCAACTGAAAGAACAGTAAGTTGGCAAGGAGTAGGAACAAGCTTTGGAAAAGGTGGGAGTTGCTTGCTTTCACCTATGATGGCTGAGAGATTATATCTAAAATTCTGTACATATTCAAAAGAACCAGTTTCAGTGCTTCTTGCTCCCTCTCTGCAGAGCCAAGACCATTAAGAACACAGTCTGCGTCAATGTGGAGCTTACTGCAGAACAGTGGAAGAAGAAATATGAAAAAGAAAAAGAGAAGAACAAGACTCTGCGTAACACCATACAGTGGCTAGAAAATGAACTCAACAGATGGCGGAATGGTGAGAGCAAAATTTTGTTATGCAAACTTAAGCAAGAAGATAGACACTGATTTAGATTCCAGGATACTGAAAGTATTTAAAAGCTGTATGCAAAACTTTAATTAGAATATTAAAGACGCGTATTAGGTTGACGTTGAAGCTTACCATCTTGCCCAGTTTGTATTTCGGATGTGACAATTTTTAGTAATTGCGCAGTGGAGAAAAAATGTTTGAAAGTTTGTTGGTTAGGTTTTCAATGCTTGGTTAAATGGGAAAACTAGACTTAATTTTTAGAATTAATATTGAAAAATGTTTTGTAGTGAATTAGCTGTAAATGCAGAAGCTGAACAAATATTGCCTCTCTTTGTTGATTCAAGTCAATATCATAATAAGTTTTCCTCACCTAAAACTATCAATCACTTTAATAGGCACAAAAAAAATTGCTGTCAGTGCAGAACATGCACCTTTCTTCCTGAGTATTTGGACTCTCTTAGTTTGCATGATATGGCGAAGTGTATATTAGGTGTGATGTGTTTAAATTTGGGAAAAGAGCATAGGTTGTGCTTATAGAAGAAGACATAGCTTGGAGTTTGGCAGCTGAAGATGGTTTTGCAGTTATGCACTTACTCTTCCATTCTCCATATTCTTCCTTGTCTGGAGATGGTTATGAGACCCCACCTGAAAAGTTAATTAACATGAAAAGGACAGCAAGTATGTATTTAAATATATTACTTACTTCCAATTGAAATATTGGAAGTAAAACAACTTCACAGTAAATATGCCTCGCTATCAAAACAGACTTCTGAGGGAAAAGAAACGATTCTCTTTAATGCCTTCGGGACAAGTTAGGATTCTAGAAAGTACAATTTCATATGGGATTTGGAGCTTCTGGCAGAATAATGTATGAGAATATAATGGCCTGTGATAAATAGGGGGTCAGTCTGGATGATCTAAAGATCATTTTTTGTCATGAAATCTGTGAATGTGGTTGTTTATTAACCATGGAGCTGTATTGTTATTAGCAAATATGCAGTGCTTTTCAAGGCTAGCTTTCTGAAAGGTAATCCATGAGTACTAAAAATACTTTATAAACACATCTCTCATTTAAGGGGAGACTGTACCAGTTGATGAGCAGTTTGACAAAGAGAAGGCCAATTTAGAAGCTTTCACAGTGGACAAGGACATTACTGTTATTAATGATAAACCAGCTGCTACAATTGGAGTAACCGGCAATTTCACTGACACTGAGAGAAGAAAATGTGAGGAAGAAATTGCCAAGCTGTACAAACAACTAGATGACAAGGTACATTCTTATTTGATATAAGACCTTGTGGAAAAACATCTTGAGCTACGTTATCTAATACTTAATTTGCAGCTCTGCTTGAATGTATGTCTGGAGTGCTTTAATTCTGAAAGGTCTGCTTAATAGAAATCAGAAATTGCCTTACTGGTGCTGAATGAGTATCCTGACTCACTTGCTCGTATTCTCCTGTCACAAAAAATTGCCAAAAAAACAAACTTATCAGTAGGCAGAACACAGTTTTTAAAAAAGCTACTGTTTTCAATTTATGCATTAATTTGAACATACTGTAAATCTTAAGCAATGCAGTAAGTTTGGAGAGAGAGAGAGGATCTTTGAATTCATTTTTATGTGTTTCTTAAAAGTTAGAATTTGGAGAGGATCTGCAAAACATAGATAGAAAACATTATGCTTCAAAGTCAAAATTCTTATAAGTATACACCTGATGAGAAACCTAATGCATAGGCCTTTGAATCAAAAGGATGATTCTTTTTAATTTTATTGCAAAATATGGAAAGTTGAATACCTATTATCTATCTTCTATCATTGTTATTTCAACTTCAGGATGAAGAGATTAATCAGCAGAGCCAACTAGTAGAAAAACTAAAAACACAAATGTTGGATCAGGAGGAGGTGAGTTTTTCTAGTATCTTTATATTTTTGTTTTTCTTAATTTTAAAAAATTGAGATGTTTTAAGATGAGTCACAGTTTATGATCAGTGTTCACCTTCTCTTTGAAAGCTTGCTACATTTCATGTGTGTTCTCAGCTGCTGTTTTGAGAGGCTTTGATTAATAATAATTTTGGTTTTGCAAAAACTTTTAAAAGAGCTAATGACTCTGGTTATAGATGAGTGGTTAAATTTTTCTATTATGGTGCTCTCACTGTATCTGTCCTGAGCATACCTATTCATGATGCTGGACACTGCAAAAACACAGTAATACAGTAGGTAAAATCATCAATTTCTCGATAATGATTATTAATTGTCTATCACTATTGATGTTGTAGCTTCTCGCTTCTACCAGACGGGACCAAGACAACCTGCAGGCAGAGCTGAATCGCCTCCAAGCTGAAAATGATGCGTCTAAAGAAGAAGTGAAAGAAGTGCTACAGGCCCTTGAAGAACTAGCAGTCAACTATGACCAGAAGTCTCAGGAAGTAGAAGATAAGGCAAAGGAGTATGAGCTGCTTAGTGATGAACTCAATCAAAAATCGGTAGGAAACTGAAAAAATAAATTACTGACTGTCTTCAACCTAACTTTTTTTTTCCTGCCTTGCTTACATTCCTTGAAGTCACTTTTTAGATGGCTTTTTATATGGCTTTCTCTTTTCCCTTCCCCTTCCCCTCCCCCCTCCATATAAGAATCTCTAAAAAGTCTTCCATGGCAGAGATTATCTGAAAGGTTTCTTCATGTGTTGCGCTTGTTTTCCCTTTCGTCTGTCATTTTGGTAGTTCTCATGGATAGTTTCGCTAAGTCTGTAGAGCTCAATGGCATGAAACAATGCTTGTCTTCTCTGTAATGTTGAGATAGAGCTGAGATGCAAATATGAAAGTATTGAGTCATTTTGCCCAGTGAAGAAGTAACTTGGGCCTTGAGTCACCACTGTTGAATATGAAGTAAGAGTTAATATTTTTTCACTTCAAACTTGCCTTTCTGAAATATCTAAATACTAACAGGTAGTTAAGCCTGAAACTTCCTCGGTTTGTGGTCTCTAACACTAGCCTTAGCAAGGGAGGCTTTGCTAAAGACAATAAAATCCACATTGAGTATTGGACATGACAGCTCTCTGTGTAGCATCTGTGGCATTTTCCCACCTTAAGAGAAGTTTAAAAACTCCTAGAGATAAATGCTTTTATTACATACAGGTGACCTGTTTCAGTTTTGTTATCTGAGGAGTGCCTGTGCTGTAGCAGCAACACACTCTGCTCCAAACTGTTTCCAGTCCTAAAATTGCAGTGAACATGCAAGTCTTCCTCGAAACCTGTATTTGCATCCTGTATTTAAGGGGTGCTCTGCATGCCATATCTTAATGCTGTCAAGAAGAGAGGGGTTATTCTACCTCCTGAAAGGAGCAGAAGGCTGAGAAGCTATTCTGAGGGAGGCCCCATATTTCAATCTGTGTCTTGCATCAGTCCCACAGAACGCGTACCTTTAACCATTGTATATCTACACAGCTTTATGGAATGACTGACAGGAGTGGTAGCCAAATATTTCAAACTATTAAAGACACCTGATACTCTCTAGTCTTAAAATACTACATACTGGAAAGAATATGCTTGTTTGCAGGCATTACAAGCAGAATACTGTGGGGATGTAGTTCTCTTCTTTCAAGAAGAAAACTTGAAGATGAAAATAGACATATCGCTTTACTGCATAGTATACTTAAATAGGCTGATATAATTTGTTTGGGACACTTCAGTAGGCAATTATATCTTGATACATTATTTAAAAATACAAAACTAGTTCTGGGAATAGAGTATTTATTTTTTAATAAAATGTAATTTCTTTTGTTCCAGGTTACTTTAGCCAGTATAGATGCAGAGCTTCAGAAACTGAAAGAAATGACCAACCATCAGAAGAAACGAGCAACAGAGATGATGGCCTCCTTACTAAAAGATCTTGCAGAAATAGGAATTGCAGTAGGAAATAATGATGTCAAGGTAAAGATTAGTTAATGCAATTTTTTTTAATGACACTACACCTGTGCCTTTTGAATTTCTAGGATCAGAGTTCTTAGTATAGTAAAGATAACTAATGTAATTGTAAAACAAGGCTGTAAGAGTTGGTGGAAATCTATAGAGTAAGTTTGTAGGGGTGAGGAGTTGAGGTAATTTACTAACCACGTAATACTTCTGGTTTATTCACACAAGTCTGGCAATGGATGCAAACAATATCCATTGTTTGTATCTCCAATTCCATGGGATTGGAATAGGAGTAGGAATGCTAGGTGCTAAGCTGCTCCATTTCATGCTTAATTCTCTGTACAATAAGTATTTTAGTTGTCTAAACTTTCTCAATGTGCAATTTCAAACTTTTTAGCAGCCTGAGGGAACTGGCATGATAGATGAAGAGTTCACAGTTGCAAGACTGTACATTAGTAAAATGAAATCAGAAGTGAAAACAATGGTAAAACGTTGCAAACAGTTGGAAGGCACCCAAGCTGAAAGCAATAAGAAAATGGAAGAGAACGAGAAGGAGTTGGCTGCCTGTCAGCTCCGTATCTCACAGGTAATTGTTTCTATAGAACTTTTCCAAAATGTTCTTTTGCATCCATCAGCCTATTGCAAGAAAATTAAATGTTGCAGTTGCTTATTTTTTCTGACACCTTATAAGAGTCACAGGACTCTTCTCCGTATCCTTAGTGCTTTATTCAATTGGAATGCTTCTGAGTGAGTTGAGTGAGAAGATGCCAGAACTTCCACTATATGGGCGTAGCTTAATAATGCTTTTGTAGCATTTGTATTAAATACTAGAAGCTATGTATTCTCCATCACAGGATGCTTATAATACCAGTGCTGTGAAAGCAGTGGCCAGTGGCCACTCTGCCTTGCAACGCAGGGAGTCTGAGCTGTAAAGGCAGTGAGCACGCGGAGATGACACTACTGTAATATAATGGGCTTGCTCAGCAGTTTAAACTCATTTCTAATGCAAGATTGGCCACTTTCCTTGTTAAAAAGGATCAGTAATGAGACTTTTAGTACACTTAAATTGTGATCTACATATGCAAACTTCATTATATTATATTTTACGTACAGACCCTCATCTTCTCTTATGTCAGAAGGTGCATATTTCAGTCAATCTTCTAAATATAGTAAGCCTGTCTTTTCTGTAATAGTATTTAACCTTCAAAACATCTAATTTTCTGGGCAAATATGTACTTGATTCCAAAATGAAAAGTGTCCTGCAGGCTGCATTATAGATCTACATAATAGATTTTTTTCTTTCTTTCCTTAGAGAGAATTTGGTTGGCGTCATTTTTGTCTTGAGATCAGGTTGTTTGAATGAATGTGATGTCACTATGCAGATGTAGTTATCTTTTACTTAGTTCTAAAGTAAATTATTATTCTTTCCATTTTACAAGCATGAAGCTAAGATCAAATCATTGACTGAGTATCTTCAGAATGTGGAACAGAAGAAGAGGCAACTGGAAGAGTCTGTAGATTCCCTTAATGAAGAATTAGTTCAACTTCGAGCACAGGGTAGGAATACCTTTTTGTGACCATTATCTCTCCTGGCCTTTTAATCTAAGTGTGCAGCCATCAGTAAGAAGTTGGTCCATACTATCTAGTTTGAAGGGTAGAGCTGCAAAACGGCTTTTCTTGTGCATGAGCATACAGAATTAAATGGAGAGAGAGACACATGTGCTGCCTTGTTTGAAAGGACTGCTAAGAGCAGGGTTAAATTGAAGAAATTGCTAATTTAAAACT